TTATTGTTATTTTCAATGAAAGGAGATTAATCTACGTTCTTTCAGCTACAAATCGAGTACTTTATCTAGACAAAAACTATCCGTATAACGGTGTAACAGCTGTCTAAAGTGAACTAACCAGGGTACGTATGACGAGATACAGTGTCAACCGTTGCAAATAAATGTGATTTTAACAATGTTCTTGTAATTACTGGTTCCCAGCCGTTAGAGAGTATTATTCTACGTTCTCGGATTAACCACTAAATGGAATTCACATGTTTGTGGAATACATAACACTTTTACTACGAGATGTTTATTACTTATCACGGTATTTGCGGTTTCCGTGGAAATCTCTGGAATCAGATAGTTAAATTAATTTATTAATGTATAAATTTAATTGATCGAAACGGTGGTATTAAAGACCATATAGACTTACTGTCAAGAATATATTTAATGCCAAAACCAATCTAAATTTGTAGCATTGACAATTGTTCCATTGTGTTTTGTAATTAGATATGAATTTAATCTTCTAATGTACACCTTTCGAAGTCCTATATCTTGTAACTTCCTGTAGTTATCTGTTAACACATCGTCTCCATTGAAAAGTGATCTAAACTTGTTCAACTGCAAGTATGTAATGTTTTTATGGTGGATCACAAGATTTCAATAAATAATGTGTATTGTTTATGAATTATTAAAAAACTACCTGAACTAAGGATATTGGCACAGGAGCTGAAAATATTATCCATGTTACTACTTCATTGCATGGAGGAGTAGTTAATGAACCTTTGTAAGTATAAAATATATCTGTATTATGAGGTAGTAAAGAGGCTAATGTTATAGGTATGTTTAGTTTTGTTCCTTTGTTCAACCACTGGACATCTATTATATCATTCAAAATAGGATATAAAAATCTGTTGTCTTCTTCCTGCAACTAATCACAATTTCTGCTATGTAGCCTGTGTAACAAGAACTTGTCAACATTTTATGGAAATGTCATATATTAACAACTACTTACTTGAAAAAAGATACCTAAAACTACAAGACCATCTTCATAGTTTAATGCATCAGATAAATTCAAGTATGCCTTATTTCTGTGAACTATATGCATCTCCATCGGGTATCTGAAAAACAAACACGATAGAGCGAGATAAATAAAGAGTAAAAACAGGATGCATTTTGTATAGTGTACCTAACACCGTTTAAAATGTGTTCAGATCCTCTGTTATTTTTTGCACCCCAATGAAAATGCAAATGATCTACTTCATACTCTTGGTTTACAGGAAGTGCAGCACCAAATACACATGGCAGATGTTTGTTACTTGGATTACTTTCTATGCTCATTGTAACTGAAATATGTAAATGATTTAGAGTTACATTGTACGGGACATTCGAATTCTTACATTAAAAATACTTATTTAACAATTGAATTGCATTACCTGAATGTCCATTGTTCCTTAATTGTAATTTACCTGGAAGATAATTGTGATATCCAATTATTTCCAAGGCTGGTAAAGGAACAGCAATTGATTTGAACGATGATATTGTTATTGGAGATTGCAGTTTTCCACCACACAACTTGAATTTTTCAATCCACATATGTTGATCTAAAATATACATATAAGTATAAGTACTCTAAAGGAAGATACGTTTGTAGGTATACTACAATGTTACATACCCTTTCTACTGTATCCAAAGTATCCCTGAACAAATGATACTATTTATATAGGAAGATGTTACTAAAATTAGTATCCTTTAAAGTTTATTCGTCGAACACAAATATTTAAAGAGTCATTATTAAACTTACTGGTTGTCAATAAACATATCATAAGCTTGATAATGTACATTCTAAACTATTTAAATGGTGTTTCAACGGAATAACGAAGCTCGACTCACGGGACACTTTTTGTACAGATCCAAGAATCGTACTGAGTTATTTCTATCATCTTCAGACTGTTTCATTTACAAATTACATTTTCTATTATCACCATCAATGCACCGTTTCTTGCGTAAACACGTACCGCGTGTTTCTTCTCAATTAAGACCATAGTAATACCATATTCACACTATGCACAACACTTGTCATACATATGTCATTCAATAGTTAATTGAATTCAAGTGACTGTAATGCGTTCCTATTATGTTCCTTAATGAATTCTGTAAGATATTTATTTTCTAACAGTCTCACCTATTTTTTCGTGGTACGACTTCAAAATAAAACGAATATGCATGTATATTATAATAGAGACACGATAACAATTTATTTACATACATACATACATACATACAGATCGTTTTATCATGACTTTAATACATTGAGCCATTGAATTGGTGAACAGTTTTGCCTAATGACCATAATAATTCAAACAAACAACCACGTAAACCCTTTTTAATTGTAGAATTTGAATCGAAATATTGGTAATTTCGGTGAAATTAATGCCTAACATTGTCTCTTATGTCTTCTCAGTTTGTTAGAAATACAAGTTTTGTGCAATTTTACACGCACGCACATATAATACATACAGCACATACACACATTGTAGAAATGAAAAAATATATATCACAGACTGATAGCGATACTCAACTATTATTCACTGTGTGATGTTTCTTATTAACATTAGATTATTTATATTTACTGTGCACATCCACGTGCATGTCATAAAACTTCTATACAAGTATATATATATATATATATATACACATATGTATATGATATTTTAACCGTTTAGAGTTTAGAGGAACATACAAGCTTAAGGCGAATGAATTTTGCAATATAAAAATATTATACACGATTATTACTCGTAACGATCTGCATTTAAAACTACCTTCTATTGGATACTGAGATTTAGCATAAAGAAACAAAAGTTGTTTATGTATAAGTTCTATTTTAATATGAAATCGGTAAATAAAAAAATTAGAATCATCAAGCGGAAACATGAAGCGTTCGCGACCGATTAAAATTTTACCATTAATAGCATCATTTAAAATTTCGTATGTATTAAGGCCTGAGATGTACCTACATTAGAATAAAGTAGAATAAAAAACCAAACGAGGCAATTCATTGAATATACACATAGTAAGACAATTGATTTTGTAGATCTGCATTATTTGTTGTCTTTCATGACATATCACTTCTTGCCTTATACATATGTACATTCTCGTTGTTTAACATATTAGAAACTTGATCGATTAACGAAGTGCATTCGTTTGATGGTGACTTGGTGTACTTAATTCGACTAGAATCACGTGTATTGGAAACGGTTTCATGCGCCGTCTGTTCTGTCCTGCGTCTTACAGGTTGTAATTTGCAGAGGAATCGAGAACAATTCTTCCCACGGTAATTGTACAGAATTAATAACTGTTTCGGCAGCACTTACAGAAACAAAATTTAGAACCCACGATTCGTCCTGTTCCGCAACTTCGTCTAAAAAGTTCAGAGTCAACGACGAGCTATAATGTTCCTGGAAAAGTTGTGCATGAGAATAGAATCGTTTACTCTGAAAGCACCGATCACTGCAAAATGATTACATTAATAAGAGATTTATGCTACTCACTACTCCAATTAAATTGCTCATGGCTTGTTCCTTTATTACGTATGGTACTTCTTTATTGCCTGGTAAAAGCCATTGCATGTTGCATATCGCTAAAACGGATGCAGTTACGATTAAACTGGACAGTTTCTCTTGCACTTCAACGTCTCGATACTTCAATAAGCCAGAAGAAAACAGTGCTAGCAATCTGATAGCATCACCGTCTTGATGATTCTTGCAATTTTTTAGTAAGCGATGCATCAATGCGGTGCAGTGCTCTGGTACTGTGAATTCGACTTCGTAACTAGGCGGTAAAGATAAATCTACAAATAAACATTTACTTGAGAACAGCTACAATCGGTATACATATAATCGTACGTAAATTGTTATGCATTTTTTTTCCTTTCTTTACCGGTAATGTAAAACAGAAAATTAGACGTTCTTTGAAAATCTTGCAGGATGCATAAAAATGTAATCGTGGTGGACTGTAGTTCATCGTTTACTTTGTTTGGCTGTTCCAACTCGATCACAACACCCTGCTTGAATGGCAATGATGCAAACGATCTTAGTCTGTCTATTGTCCAACTGATTTCCTTGTGTAGCCAACGTTGTGGATCTTCTCTAAGATTTCAATAGAAAAAAATCTAGTACAATATAATCTTCAAGTAACTTCTTTAACTATAATTACAACAAAACTGTCGGTTTTACCCTTCCAAACCATCGATTTTAAGAACATAAACTTTTGATGTGGACAAAACCAGACAACCAGAAAATGTATCTTTCGAATTCTGCATAAGAATGTCCGCCTAGAAGTCACCGGATAAGTTCAGAAGATTTATTTCAAATATTTCACTAATCATTAAACAATAAATAAAGTGTATATCGTTGTTTTATTACCCTAAGGAGAAAAATAAGTTCTTCGTTTTCATGTTCAAATATATTCAAGATAATATGTAACTTTACTCTATGATCTATAGTGCTGAAATCTGTGTAAGAATACTGAATATTATTGTCCAAGAAATGCGACGTATCTTTCGCTTTCAACGTTAATGGTTTGTTACTCCCAACTTTTATACTTTGAAGTAAACCTACGAGTTTCAATATTTAGTAGCATCACGGTATCGATCAATCTTGTACGAGATTGTAGTACTGTAACATATTGTAACGTCACCTACCACCTAGCATAGAAGTTAAACTTGTTACAGGTGCGAATTTGATCTCTTTGTCGTTATTACTGTTAAGGGATTTCTCATCTGCATTAGTTTGTCTAATTATTTTATTTTCATACGCTGTACAAATACTATCTGTCAATGAACCTGTAATCGTAATATTATTAGCAATTATTAATTTCGAATCTTTGTTCGGCTAGTTACGATAAAAACGACGGCAAACCTGAAGAACTACTCTCGGTTAAACCGGCCATGACTGGTGCTGCATCTGGTATTGTTAGGAGAGATGGGGCAACAGCAGCAGTAGCACGTCTTTCTTCCGAAGATCGTTTTCTATGTGGTGTCAAATGAGATCTGCGATAATCACGAGACAATTAATGAAGCAACATTAATTGAGCAAGCATTTACTTTCATTGCACACTTGATAATTAAATTATAAAAGACATAGCCGACCTCGAGGCTTCATCCAGTACTTCAATGCTACTCTGACTTGGATTGCTAAGTATCTCTATGTCACTTTCATATTTTTTATTCAACGCATTCGTGGATGGTGTTGATTCTCTAGATTCTTCTAAACTTGTGGCAGAACCTATTAACAATAAAGCAGAGTATTTACAAATATGCTAATCAGCCCATCTACTACTGTTTATTACGTATCCATTTTTAACATAAGTTTAACTCGATGTTTATTACGTTTTTATTAGTGTACGTTTATTACACGAACAAAAACATGAACCTAAACTAACGATAGGGATCAATGGTAACTAAATCTAGATAGTGATGCAACTAATGTAATAGTTTGTGTTTTGTTTTATAATCATAAGGAAAGCTTGAGGAAACAGAATGATGCTGTAATAAATTATTGTAGCTGAAGCTTACAGCAGACTTGAGCTTGGGTGTGAGAGTCGGAGTGCACCAGAGAAATGGTGACGGATCTAGCTCCAACCTCCGTTCCACCTGCACCGGGATTAGTATGTTATTGTCCCAGTCAGTAATAAAATGCACATTAGCAGTATAATTAGTGCGTACACATTCAATAAGTAATTAAGAATTAATATATATTATTTCGATTACAAAACTAAACGGTACTACTGTTGTAAAATCTCAGTATATCGCAAATAAGAAAAGAAAAAAAAAACACGATTATATGATTAATATTTGCTACATAAACTATATTCGTGACTATACAGGATACAATTATTTTGTATTCAACTCGTTAAGAATTACAAGAAAACATTGCATATTAAAAGACTGGGTTACATTATCAAAAGAAACATTATGTTCATTCTCATATCGCTTACAATAACAAAACACATGCAAAAATCGAAATGAAACTTACCAATGCTAGAATAAGACTCAGAATGTTGTAATTTAGTCTTTGCTGTGTTCTCCGAATATTCGTCCTTAGATAATAAACGCTCCAACGAGCCTCCAGAAACATCACTTTCTACGTCCACTGTAGACAACTCGTCCGTTTCAATGACTAAAGTACTTTCACAAGTGGGACACTTCAGTTGCTTTGCTCCTGAAAAAAAAGCAATTGCATTATAATATTATAATCCTTTCACGATAGCCTGTTTGAAAATTTACCGGATATAGACGTACTTAATACAGTAACATATTCTGTATCCTGAGAGAAATGAGTTGAACATTTCATACATTTAAAAACTTTCAACGATATTGGCCGTTTTTTCATTCTTTCACCAACAGTTGTCACTATTTTCTGCAAAACAAATACGTAATACACTATTAATATGTATGTCGCGCATCTTCCTGTACACTCATGTTTAATCGCTTTATTACCTTTGCATCGTCTGGCTCTGTAAAATATCTCCTGTTCTGAAGAGTTTCCCGAGTTGTATCAAAAATTATATCTACGGTAACTGGTTCACTTCTACCCAGAACACACGATAACACAGAATTTATTGACCAACTGCACTTTAATTTTCCAGTGACCGAATCTCTCTCTTTAATGTCACTGTAGCAATTACAGAATAGACATTACACAAAGCAAAAAAGAAAAGAAAAGAAAAGAAAAAAAAACGTAGCTTCTTAAATATTCATACACTTACGCTGATGTTATTATCAAGAATAATTCTTCTAATTCGTCGTCATTTTTCTTCTTTTGAACTAAATACAAGTCTCCAGTTTCTAAATAGAAATAGACATAACTAAAATTTCTTTTATATATTGCAAGTTACTTTCTTCCAGATAGTATTGATTTTATACAATACCTTCTTCCAGATGGTACAGATCATAGTGTAGTTCAGATTGTACAAAAGTATTCGTTGTATCACTCAATGGTGTTTCCGATACGTTTTCCACGTTTAATTCTTTTCTACTACTGGTCTCATTATTTTCGTTCGTTGAACACGCGGAATTCTCTGCAGCATCAGCTTGAATATTTTCAATTGCATCAACTATAGAATCTTGAGTACTTGATACAGCACTTGTTCCATCTGGGGTCAACGAAGAATACGAGGAAGGTTGAAAACCCATAATATCCTGAACAATCGTTCCACCCAGACTGCTTAACCACTTATCTTCGCCAAACTGTTTTCTTAATGCCAAAATTTGTTTTTTTGTCTCCAAGTGATCTTTCGAAGTCTCTACATGAAATAGTATTTGTATGGATTTACAGTATAATGATTATTTCAAACGCATCGATCAAAAATACTTAGCTAAATAAAAACTATTAATACCAGTATTTATGTTTAAACATTTCTTTCCGTGATCATCTTCCGTGATAACAGCTTTCTTCACGTTTGACTTTTTCTTGTTTTTGGAATAACATTTTTCGAAACTATTCTCCGTCGACTTTTCCGCTCCGTCGAATTCATTCATAGTAGGCGCAGTAACAGACACGGACAAGCTACTAGAATTCAACGAATTCGATACCGAAGTAAGAAATTCATTCGATATAGATTGTTCAGATCGAGTTGTAAAGAGTCGGTTCTCTGTAATAACTTGCTTCTCTGATTTAGACAGGGGCAGATGGTCTAAAACAAACTAAATCATAAAATTTTATTCGCACTTTCACTACGCTCTGTAACAATAAGACATACATTGTACCTTCCTATGAATGTCTGATATATGTTCATGTTGTTGTGAACTCTACAATGTTCTTATTATTCTTAATATATATGTATATACCTTACCTTACTCAAGCTGAAACGCGGGCGCAAATATTTAATAGATACTAGACGGTGCTTCGGGTGATACGATAATGGATTGCCCTCTAATAATATCCATAATAAAGTGGACATTTTTTCCAGTACCCACAATGTCGAGTGTTCCATTAAACAATTGAAAGATAAATCTAATTCTTGCAAATATTCCAAATTTTGTAAACCTATGACAAAGAAGACAATTTATTGATGGTTGTGTTTATATTGGTTGTATTTTGTACAAAATAGAAAAATATTAACGACAGTAATCAGTTACCACTTAAATTTTCTATGTAATTGCTCTTCAAAACTAATACTTGTAAAGAATGAGATGCAGCCTTGTTGAATACAGGTATTGTGTCCAGCTTGTTGTATCCAAGATTGACATATTTTAAATTAGGTAAACAAGATAATTCGTCGGCAGATGTGATTAAGTTATGACTCAAGTCAATTATCTGTAACCAAGGTGCCAGTTCCAAGGATGCATCTAATCGTTCCAAAGCATTATGAGGCAATGCTAAATGTTTTAATGAACTCCAGAGAAATCCAATGCCAGCATCTCCACCACAACTCTCTGGGTACAAGTTAAACAAAAGTTTTCATTATCGGCGACATATTTATAATAAAGCATTCTATAAAATAATTCCTACATTACCTAATAATTGACTCACTGTACAAATTCCTTTCCTTCCAGCACTAATAACACTTTCAAGTTGACCTCTAACACTTTGCAGTCCTTTTACAGATTCGATGTTAATTTTCTTCAATTCCAAATACTTTAAATGCTTAAACTTTGTAATATCAACAGGGATTTTGGTATTATTTGTGCAACAAGTCACTTTTAGTCCGACTGTTTTCTGTACAAAATCATGTAAAAACTTCAAATGGCAAAATATATCAATCTCCGAACTGTTGCATACTTGAAACGAAGACTCTAAGTCTTCCGGTTTATCCACAATCGAGGAAAAAGCTTTATTTAAGTTGTAGAGCAATGTAGTGGATAAAGAGAGTTTGCTAGATGCGCTTAACACTTTATCCCCATTTTGACGCAAAAGTTTTCCAAGTTCCACTATTTCTTGCATGCTGGCTGCATCTTGAAAACTATTCATTTTTTATGCTATGTAATAAGTGATTGCAACAATGCTTAGAAATTAATCAAACTCAATTTCATAGTATCCTAGAAATAAATAAATATATTCTCACTTAGTTTCTGTAACTGAATGCAATGTATCTTCGTCATTTATTCTTTTACTTATAAATAATAAATATCATAAAAAAACTTACAAGAGTATCTGGCATTTCTTGGACCTCCACATTAATGTCCAAAAAAGAAAAGACACACTTATGTTACAAATGATGCAGGCAATATAGTTCCATATATGTATGTTATTTGATATAGACAATGCATGAAATACACCTTCCCAAAACTATCAACACCTATTATTTTAGTAGAATGTCATCCGTCATTATGCAATCCAGTAACCTTAATTTAAGTTATTTTTTCACTCTATCCCAGGCAATTCCTGAAACATACTGGTGTTTCCAAACGGATTGGCCATTACATTCCAAATCGTTATAATCTGTAAAATGGGGTCTCTATTAATGCGTAACGCAAAATATTAACAACACGTCAGAAATTATTTCAACGTAGGACCAGAAAAAATACAAATACGTTTCTGGTTACTTCAAGTGATAAATGGTTCTTCTTGTCTTCTTACTAATAGAAATGTGACGGATGATGATTCATACCTCGATAGAGAATCTTCAATAAATAACTGCTCGAAAATCTCTAAAACGGCTGAACAATGGTATAAATGACATACATTGTCACATACTTATTGTCTTTAATTTACATCATCATGCCAAATGGCCAAAACGTAAATATTGTCGAATCCGTTATTTCTAAATTCCGCACGGTGGAGGCACTTACTGGTGATTCCTAGCAATGTACATATATAATACGTATTACACATGTATTCACGAATTAGAGAACGTACGGTGTCCAAATACAATAACTACATCTGGTGGCAACAGTCTGTATTAAATGGCTAATAGCTTGAGCATTTTGCCGTAGCTAGCGACACCAATGACTTTCATGTCGTTTATTATAATCACAGATAAAAAATTAAGCAATAATGAAAAAATCACCACGACTGTCTATGCGTAGTAGAGATGGCGTGCAAAATCACTAACGGTGATTTATCACAGTGATCACCGAATCACGATCACGGTCGTGATTTAACTTCATTTACGACCGTAATTGCGATTTTTTTATCATGAGTGAATTTACTCACTGCGATCGTAAGTCCGTGATCTTTAAACAGAAAAACGTATTCAATATGATTTTACGATGAATTACATTACTATTTGTGTTGGTAAAAATCAATAGAAAAAACAGGAAATTCTAAAAGAATAATTTCCTAGGTAACATGTAGATTATAATTTATAATCATTAATTTATTCATTATTCTTCATTGTTTGTAATTATTCCTTCACTTTATAAGATATAACTCGAATTTTTGTTTTGATGTCGTTAATATAAAATATAAAAATTATGTGTCACGTGCAAAGAACTGTTAGGTTTCTCCACCAATCAGAAACGATCACGAGAAATCACGAATCACTGTGAAAAATCACCGTGATTGGGAACGCGAACGTGATCGAATCACGAGTGATTCACAAGTAGCAGTTCACGCCATCTCTAATGCGTACGGTTGAATCGATACCACCAAGGTATCGATGCTTATTCGGTATCGAAACAAAAGTATCGAGTAATGTACTCGTATTTACTTGTATCGATTCATCCTTATCTATGCGTCACATCGATTCTGTGAATTGAAGAAATAATTATTTTTACAAAAATTTATTAAATTTCAGTGTGTTTGGTTTTATACATGGTCTGATTGAAATTGTAAAGCACCAAACAGAATTTTATCTAATTCTCATCCTCGTGAATACTTATACCTATAAAAAATCTATACCTCAATATTAACTGTGGTCTATGGATTACACATCCATACAGCTACATACTGCATGTTTCTTGAATTTTCAATAACCTCGATTTTTGAATTCAATCGTAGATGGAATTATGTATCCAGGATTATCAATTTGCGACCAGTGGCGACACATTTTCCACAAGATGGACGGAGCTTCCGTAACTTTTATTCAGATTGATTCAGATTATCAAAATTGATCAAACTTGTATTCTATGCGCAATAAACACTGCAGAATCAATTTATAACTGATTGCATAGGAAAGATCTATAGTCTGGAAAATATTAATGGCTTTTCTGATACGTTAGTATTTTTATAGTAAAACAAACTTACGATTCTAAAGTTGCATATTACAAAACTGATAGCAGAGTGTTGAGAGTTAACACGATTCAAAAATGAGAGAAATTATTATTTTTGGCATATTCTTATTATTTTACGTGGAGATCGCTAATAATGCCAAATCGGGAAAGACGAAATCATGGAAGGACAAGGATATACGTGATATGACCGACGCAGATTTAGAGCATTTGTTAGACCAGTGGGAGGTATGTTTTCCCTTCACTTTCTTTAGTGACTAACCATACACGTTCGGTATGATTACTAACATGAACAGCTGAACACAAATGAATATACCCTATTCTTTTAGGAAAATGATGAGCCCTTAGAACCAGATGAATTACCAGAACATCTCAGACCAAGTCCAAAAATTGATATATCAAAGGTATACATCCGTTGAAATTCTGTTTGAAATAATTCAAAATTCTGGTCTTTATATCTATATTCTTGTTTATGTTACAAAGTTAGATATGTCAAATCCTGACAATGTACTCAAAATGACTAAGAGAGGTAAAGGTGTCATGATGTTTGTTGATACTAATGAAGACCTTTCAGCTGATGCAGCAGATGTTATAATGAAGATCTGGCAGACTAGCCTGCAGAATAATCATATTATTGCTGAGAGGTATTTTTTGTTTTCAAAGTTACTTTATATGCTAATTAAATTGTAAATTTGATACTACATCATAGAGTTTACAGGTATCCAACTGATCCAAAAAGATCAGTGTTCCTGTTTCGTGAAGGATCACAGGCAGTAGATGCAAAAAATTTTTTATTGCAACAACCAGAATTGTCTCATGTTATCCTTGAAGGACAAACCTATTACAGAGATCCAAGAAAACAGGTAAGTTAATAATATATGCTATATACTTGGATAAACAATTAAGCGAATAGAAGGAAATTAAAGGTATGGTTTCTTGCAGAGTGCAACCATGGAAAAACAGAAAAAAAATGATGAAAATATGGTAAATGAGAAAACAAAGAAAGTGGAGCTATAATATTATGTAATGTATGTTCTTCAAAGACTCCAAATATTTTGTTTATATATTTTTATAAATGTACATATTTACATAGAAGCCAACATGTATAGAATAATTTTTGATACGTTCTTTTCATTTATAAAATGAATTTACAATTACAATTTCTTGTACCAAGACTTTGTGTAAATTCTATTTTGTGTTCAATACTTTGTAGCAGTAAAAATGTGAGGAACATTGTCTAATATATTCAATAAATGATTCAATGTTAGTGGAAGAATTCTAGAAATCTAACAGTTAAGGAATTAAATAAGATATTATTTTCCATCATCCTATAATATTGCAACAACAAAAGAAACAACTATTGTCTTATTCCAATTGACTGTAACGAGGACAATTCAACATCGCTTCATTGTAAAATAGAAATTTATTCCCCATTATATTCGAACGAGATATATTTGAAGAATTATGTGTTAACAGTTCCATTTACGCCGATACTTTATTTATTTAACTTACATTAGATTCATTGGCAGGCGGACTTAACCGGGTGGATTATTCATAGTGTTTATTTGTCTTTGTAGTTCTTTCACTACAGTTGCAAGTGCATATGGATTCACACCATTCTCGCATAATCTAATGCATATACCTAACGTAGTTGGGTCCAAATTTGTGTTTAGTAATTTTGAAATTTGGTATAGTGTTTGGAATGTCTTTCGAGCAGCATTTATCTGATGATGCACAGGCTCTGGCATGTTAGCTCGATTTTGTTCCTTCCTAGAAATCAAAAGCAATAAGGTAATAATGATGCATTGTCGTTCGACTAGTATTGAAAAAGGTTAAACTTTGTGTACAATTATTTCATAGAATACGTACTCCCCGGAGTGAGACAGTTTTGCGCTGTTATTAAAAAACGGTTTCAGAAGAAAAATATTCTCACAGATTGCAAAGTAATCTTGTTTATTTTTTTATTCTCATAGTAATCGCACAGATCTCTTTCAATTAAACGAGATTGTTTCTATAACAACCGCTAGAGTCTAGAGCAGTCTAGAGGGTCAAGGTGACAATCACAAAAAAATGCCGTAATTTGAACTCACGTTAAAGGAATTTTAATTGAAAACTGTGGCACCCGTATGTTTCGATGCTAATTTACAAAAGAATAATAAGTATATGAGAATTAAAAAAAAAAAAAAAGAGGCTTTTAAAAATGATTTATCGAACAGAAATCGTATACGCGAGACACTGCATCACACTCAATCTGACTTAATCACTGTTCAATCACACTGCATGTGACCAGTGACCCATCAGTCATCATTTTCCGTGAGTGACCGTTGGTGACCGTGACCATATGACTCCATGATGATCGCAGCCAGATCGTGCCATCAAATTCTCTAGTCCTTTATAGAGATAAAGCGCGTTGTTCAGAAGAAGGCCACCGAAGGGTATGCGAGTCCGATTGGTTATTGAGTACACGTATTGTTTCTATTGGCCAACGGGATGACATCGAGCAATCAGACCACACAGCATCGCGTGCGAACGAAGTGCGGTGGATTCTTCTTGGATTCTTCTGAGCAACGCACTTTACCTCTTTGTTTTTTCTTTCGCCGCCTCTCTAAATATATTCGCATGGACATACGAATAATTAATCAGCCATAACTTATTCCTATGTCCACCTATGTCGAGACCTCAAAGAGTGTGTCATATCGATACACAATACTCGACCTGACTCGACTGGACTCGACCGTCGAGGCTGGTCGAGGCGGCCGCTGGCGGCACAGCCGATTGCAGGCTGCAGCCGACCTTATTGTACATATCGACATATGTATATCTACGGATGGATTTTCAGTATTATCAGCTCTGTTGTTAGTTATTAATACTTTATGAATTATACAAGAATAATGTAGTACGTGAATTTGATACAACCATTTCGTGCGAATTCCTTATGTATCGAAAATGTTCTATTTAGGTGTCAAATTCGACAAAAGTCTCCGTTCACGGTATGTCAATTACATTGTCGAATAGAGTACCATAAAATAAGACATGGACGTGTTCGTGAGCTGAAAATGACAAACATGCTGACTTATGAAATTATATCGCTTTCTTCTTTTTAATGTTGATCAAATGATACCGAAGAAAAGCATTCCATTGAGGCTACAAATAGGGTATCAGCCACGTAGCTACTACACTTCATGCACCTTTGTCTGAGAAACAGCAATGACTTCTGTAGCGGGAGTGGCGATTCATACCACTGTGTTAAATATCTGAAAATTTCGAAGTACTCAATATTTTTGTTCCAGAGAACATAAAGAACATATCAATATTAATTACAACAAAAACATTTCTCTCCTTATCATCGGGATACTCGTTAGATGCAATTGATGCTATCGAAAAAATGTCCATATGTAGTATTGTTCATTTGGTAGTATTGTCCTGTGATGCCATCTACGGTAAACGGCTCAACTTACTAGCCATTTGACTGGCTAGTAGCTTGGGAATTTTTCCGTAGATGGCGCCAAGTTGCTCGTTACTACTTTTTTCATCGGTCGTGTTACATATGGAATGTTTATTTAAATTTAAACTGTCGCAATGAAACATAATTGATGCACGATATGTATACGGGAGACTCCAATGAACAATTAGGCATAAAAGTAGTACATTTCTTTTCATTTCAAATAAGTCTAATTTCTGTATTTCTTTGGAATATTTCATTTACGCATCAATCGTCACTGCATTACATATCTATTAATTTGTTCAGTATATAACAATGAATTGCTCTGTAATAGGCTAGTGTTATTGTTGCTCAATATCTATTCAATGATATCTAATTAAGAGTTTAATATCATTCGGATAAATATTGAGTCGTAATTTGCAAAGATTTTCTGTACTTTTTATTCCATGCAGATTTAGGGTGTTGAGGTGACGGTTCAATTTCTATGTGGTTTGTAACGTTTCTTAAGAAAAAAACCCGTAAAGTAATACAAAACAATTCGAAATAAATAACTGATGTATACGAATTTTGAATATCAAATAGCAAGATTTTGGCATTTTTGGAATTTTTAAAGAATGTTTAATTCGTCATTTTCTCGTCATGGTACTCACGTTTTAATAAATAGATCGTTGCTGCTGTCTATTATTAGTTGTCCGAAATAATTAGCGCAGGCCAAGCAAAATAAATTGCAGCAGATCACTATGAGGGCTAATAGAAATTCGTCCGTAATTTTCTTTAGCGACAACGATACGGCTAGCTACATACATATATGTACATACATATAGTGGTGCGTTAACATCAATTCTAATAAGTCAGTTGAGGCATACACTTTTGCAAATCTACTTTTCTAAGGGTCTCATCAGGGTCTTATACGGCTGAATTTCGAATCGCGATTGAACTTGATCAATTGCTCTTTTACACTATATTGTGCTTTTGTATCAATAAAATAGATGCGTGCGCTACCGTTGTATAAGATCCGCAGTCTAACAAATAGACTTTGAGACTAAAATCATTGGGTTGCTTTAAGTTAAGAATACTTTCTTCCAACAAACATAAGATAAAATTCTATTTTCACGAAGACACGTATTATATGTGAAATATTTTGATATCGACGCACTAAACGAACGGAAAATTCGAATTAAAGGATGATCGAATTGTAGTTGGCTCCTAATCTGATTCTCTTTCGTTCAAGAATTCGTTCAGCAAGTTACTCGTTTTTCTTGTCAATTCAGATCAATCAGTACTCACCACCGAAAGATTTATACTCAACGTCGTCACACCGATATAGACCAGCAACACGTAGTGTTTCGCGAATGATTTGTTAAGGTATTCAATCAGCCTTGAACATTAAACATCTTGTTGGATTGACTTTCGACCGAAGAAAACAGATGGGTTTAATATTATTTTTCTAACACGAGATGATTCGCCGGGTCTCTAAACGTGTGTCTACAAAAAAACTGTATATTATTTGGCCCAAGTATGGATCACAGAAACAGTTGTATAGGTAATTAAGTACCTGCTCGAGGTTTACAATGAATCGAATTAGATCCATCTAGTCCAAGTCAGATTCACCATTTGGGACCGTATAAAAAAAGTAACATACTGTATTCCCTCTCTGATCAAGGATATCGATAAGTACATGTAATATGTAATAATGTGTAAATAGATCGTGAATTTGAAATGTCGATCGTGAACCGATCGTGATCGTTTGGGAGAATAAATTAATTTGCGTTGTTGTGATTTTAGGGGGAATACCGTAAGATGGCTGGAAAGCGATTGAAATAACTGTTGCGATACAAACTCGAGGAGTCGTTGATGCAGTTCCACGGCTGTCCTGAATTCTTCACGTACGAACGAGTACTTGTTACCGCGGAGGACGTTCAAAATGCTTTTCTCTATCGTCCTCTCGATCCGATCGCTGATACAACATAAGACACAAACAACAACGTTATTGATGTTGCTGTTCCGAGCCGCAAAGTTCTTGCTTGTTTCAATTGATCTTTGTTACCCGACGATCTGAAACACTCCGCACACGTGGTAGATGAAAGTTACAGTCGCACTCTCGGTAGCTATCAGCACGCTAACACCTAAAAACGCTTGAGCGTCGATGTGTAATAGAATCCAATAGGCGTACCGATTCCGATCGACGAAATACTCGACGAGAATCGGTAGGTGCGGCAGGGAGGAACGGTTAGGGTTAGAGGATACCTCGCGTACGAACACTACCGACACGAACGGGTATGCGATGAACATGAACACCGAGGTATAAAAAAGCGCTGGAAAAATCAAGAAATACATTCACATGATCAATGCAAATATTCCGATTGAACAGTTTCTAGAAGTTGATGATATATGTTAGACGCATACCAAGTAACAGAGTACTAAGAAATTTTCCTTGAGTCGTGTACTTTAATAACAGTCGTATCTCCCTTTCACTGGTGAACGATTCCCAGTCGGTTTGAATCCAGTCGAAAACGTACCTTACCTATATGTACATATGGTATGTACATTGTACAGTACACACGTAGTACGTACG